GTTTTTTTTAAAGGCAACAAATGTTTAATTACTTAAAAAACTAACTTGTTTCCAAGTTTTTGTCAATTTACAAGAATATTGTATTACTTTTAAATACCTACATAGATATTACTGTATGAATTTTCTAAATATAACGGAACATTTTTTTTTCAAGTACATGTTTACACATAAAATTTTTTATTGCCCGATTTTATATTTTATATATTTTATTTTTAATTACTTAAGAGAAATTATAGAATATATAAAATTAAGCATTAAAATTTTTATACTTAATTTATACTTGGTAATAATTTGGTTTATTTTTCGAGATCATATTACAAAACAGTTTTATCATATTACTTAACCTTGATCTATAATCACAATTGAATTTTAATGAAAGGGAAAATTCACAAGTACAAGGCAAGTGGAAAGTTTCATCTTAATACTTATTTGATTTAATATAGTATATTAAGATTAATTAGTTTTCTTAGTTCAGCTTAAGATTCATTTCACGAAAGCTATTTAAATTTTAATTTCTAGAAGATTTAAGATTCTAAAAAAGTATGAAATTCTTTTATCTGAGATTGCTATCATTTAATTTAAAATTATAAAAATGTGATCAGGTTAATATAAATTCATTTGTTTCTTGGATCATAAGAGTTAAATGTGACGCCGTTTCGCTGAATTATACGCACATAGTTTGAGTTAATTCACATATGCCAGCTGCATTTGATAAATATGTACATATTAGTGGTGTGTTAGGGGAGCGAGCGTTAACAGTAGCGCAGAGTCGGAACACTCTATTTGTATGTATAATAAAATTTATTTGTATATACAAAAAATAAACCGTGGAAATGGATTAAAATTGAAATAACGAGTAGCAAAAATATATACAAACGGAATCTAAAAAGCATCTAAATGCTAGTGGGTTTTTTTCAACAGTTTTAACACTCATGTGCCTTTTTTATTTCCTTAACAATAGACAATGAATGCAAAATATGACGAAGAAAAAAAAAATTAAAACAAAAAATTTGTTTTTCTGTCATATTTCATAAATGCTGTTTGTTGTTGTTGCTCATATTTAATTTGTTTTTCTCTGCTTAGGGGGCAAAATCTAGACTAAAAATACGACTTGACACCAAATTTCAAATGAAATTTCAAAAAAAAAGAAAACAAGAATCTTTTTTCGCTTAGTTATACTTAGTTATTAAAAAATTTACACTTCTTTCTCATAAAATATTTTATGTAAAATAAAAATTTTTAATGTCTATGACTGCTTCTGCACTATTCTAAAATGTGTTCGTTTCAATTTTGCATATAGCAGAACTTTTGATTTTTATTTTTTATCTGGCTTAATTAGTAGTTTTTTTTTTTCTTTTAAATATTTAATTGAAGTGTTAGTATTTTTATGTCGTGTTTGTGTATAGTGTTATACACACACGCATATAATTGTTAAAAGTACAATGCTGTTCAATAGTTTTGATTCTTGTAGTTTAAAAGTAAGCAAACAAAAATTTTTATAACCGACTTTGTTTCATATAAGGGGACATATTTAAATTTTCCTGAATTATTATGTGAAACTAGAACTACCGCATATGTCGATGCGTCTGTTTTATTATTCATTAGCCATTCCTGTTTGTCCGTTATTGTACACCTCATTAAAAAATGGGAAGAACTAGAATTATCCAGCTTGGCGCAAATATTCAAGTAAGATGCAAACATTTTTTGCTTCTCTCGTTTTAACTCTCCGTCATTTATTTTTGCTTTCTCATTAAATTATGACGATTTCGGTTGGAAATCTGATACCCGCGCGTTTTGTGTCTCTAAATGTTGATCGTTTTGGGCTTTTCTTGCAATTATTAGTTCGCCTTATAATTGATTCTTGGCCTAAGTATTTCATCTGATAATAAAGATATTTCACAATTGTCCAGTACGAAAAACATAACTACTTACCTTTAAATGTTGAATAAATTGAATATCTTGTGAGCGACTGTTAAATAAAATTAAGAGTTTTATTAAATTAGTTTAAATTATTAGTTTGTTTAGAGCCGTGCTAGTGCTAATATTTCAGGAATGAAATAAAAATGTAAATAAATAAAGAGTTTTTATTGCACAAAGAATTTGAAAATTATTCGAATATTTTTTTGGCACAATATTGTGTAATTACTAATGCAATATGGCTATTAATATGAAAGATTGAAACTTGTTTCTGTTTTCATAAAAAAGAGTGTTGTAGTTGCAAAATTCTAATAATAGAAATATGACTTCTTACTCTTAAAGCTTAATTATTTCAAGTATTAAAAAAGATTCTTGTTTCTCTTTTGAAAACATTAACAAAGTATATGTATGCATTTCTGATATAAATTAATAAATTAATAGTCATTAGACATATACAGTGGAATGCCCATTTAACGAACATAAAAAATCTCACAAGTTTTGTTTATAATTCGTAAGATTTCGTAAAAAGAAAGCTGTGTCCTATTTATCGAACGAAATAGTATAAGTAATACTGAGAGCCTCCAAAGTAAAACAGAAATATTTTCCAAGTTCTAAATTAGACCCAAATTTCAATAGAATTATTCTAAATAAAAAATTAAAATCACAAAAACGAAATGATAATTGTCAAATAATTTTTAGAAATATAAGAAACAAAAAAAAAAATGTAGCGGCTGAATATTTTGCTCAAAGCCGATCAAAGTTCCTAATCAGTTTTAAAAATGAATTTGTTCATTATTTGGATGTGAAAAAATTCATTATAAATATTTAGATTGCTTATAAGAAAGAATTCACTATGTACTTAGGGATTCGTAACTTAGAAATTTTTTTAGTATGTCACAAATTTAACGCCAAATAGGGATTGTTTATTTTAATAAGATTCGACTGTATATAATTCTAACAAGATAAGCATTAAAATATGAACTTTAACTTTGCACACACTTGTTTATTAACAAAGCTTAATAAATTCGCTTGAAATTATTAATATTTTTTGTCATATAAAAAGCGACAATACTTAATGTTAGCGATTTGTAATTTGATATTTTTGATTTTGTTTTGTAATTAATTTAATAAAAAAGATAGTATGTACATACTTGTAATTATTTACTACTAAGAGATTATAATTTTCAATTCTTTTAATATTTGATTGGGTCATTTGACCTAATAAATTTAATATTTCTATTTCATTGTTAAATTTCAAAGACATTAACCTTATTTTTATATATTTGCATAAAATGATTTAAAGAGTACTGAGAAATTATCGTGAATATTAATTAGATTCTAAATATTTCATATATTTTATTAAAATGTAGATTGTTACTCGGACTATGAAAGTTTTTGTTTGTTTTATTGTTTCTTAATAATGAACTTTTGATTTGCTTCTTAATTCACTTCTTTTAACTCACTATAAAACAGGATCATATTATGAATCGGTACAAAGTCTAGCTTCAGTACCATTTTTTAAAAATTCGGGGTTTTACATTAAAAGTTAAGATAATCGCGAAATCCTTGAATTTGGAACATTGTATTATAGCAATGGCATTTTTTTCAAATTCAAATCGAAAAACCAAAATGCGAACACCGAGAGACTTTTCACTAATTTAATAGAACTATGATGACATATTTTTTTTCCATTTTATTCAGTTATAAATCAATAAATATGGTAAATTAATAACAACTTAATAAAATTTCATTCATATTTATTGTATCACATAATCACTTAATTTATTGTATTTAAATCTTAAGTGTTTAATTCTCTATTTTATACTTATTGTATTTACTAAAATTAGATTTTAAGTCTTTTAAAAGTCTAAATAAATATTTATAAGTTAGCGCCATATAATTTGGTATTAAGCAAATATTATTATGGCTATGAATTGCAATTATTCTTTATTGTTATATTTTACTGCATACTAAGTATGGCTTACTTACTTATCTGATATACTTATTTTTTTACTTATAATCTTTATAATACTTTAATTATATAAAACACATTCATTCACTCCTAAATAATACTAAATACTTACTAGAATTTTTATTTAGGTTATCAGAATTATGTGAGTGACTAATTTTTAATAATATTTTCTTGTATAAAATCATTCTTGTGTTCAATATTTCATTCGTGCTTAATTAATTTGAATACTTACAGTAATTCCTCAATAATTACACCAAAAATGATTGCATTTACTTTCAAGTTATATTTTAATGCATAAAACAACTTCAAATATTTAAAAAAAATATAGTCATAAGGACTCATATACTTAGTACTTATTATAATTTTATAAGTGTGCCAAAATTAGAGCAACAATTTTTGTCTGATGAGCAACTTTAGAGCAACAATTTAAAATTAAAAATTTTTTTTGATCAAAATAATTTTGCTAATAATTTGAAAATATCCGAAAATAAACAGCAGCTGTTATTAACTTCCATAGAATTTATTGTTTTATTTCAGTTTATTTTGGGTCGGTAGATCAATTATTTAACCCAAATTTTTAATTGAATTTCCCAGTTAATTGTGCTAAATTACAAGTCATACCATTTGAATTGATGCAATTATCTGGGGTTTACTGTAATTATTTTGTATTTATTGAGCTACTTACAGTCTTATAAAGAAAATAAATTGGTTATTTATCAATAATTTTTTTTTATTTCTGCATTAGAATTAGAATATTGTTGCTATATTTTTGCTTTAAATACTGTGGCTAGTGTATTCATTGACCATCGTTTATTAATTATGAACTAAGGATTTGAGGTGAGGGTAGTTAATTAAATTAATTAGGTAATTTATTTACAAACTGCTTTCAATCAAAAAATTAATTTTGTTTGTAAATAAAATTTTTTGACTTATTCTTGATTATTTGAAAATTATTTTTGAAATATCGAAATTAAAAATAGCTTTTTGGAAATTTTCTTTTTGTTAAAACTAGCAATTATGCAAAATTTTGCTCAAATCTTGGAACACAATTGATTAATATAAATTAAATAATATATTTTGCATTAATTTTTTTCTTTTCTTTTTTTTTCAGATTTTTCAATTGAATTATTGCAATTTTAAACCTAACCAAAGCACATCACATATTTCAAATTTCATGAGTTTTATTTTACTAAATTTTATTTTTAATAAGTAAAAATAATTTGCAAGAGAAATTTAAATAAAAATTTTAAAATGAATTTAAATTTACCATTCTTTTTCATAAGATAAATTAAAAAAAAAATATTCTGGTGAAATTCAAAATAAAAAAAAAATTAAATTAAAATAAATTAAGAAGTGATTAGAATTATTTAAAAGAAAAGCGGGAAAATATAAGTGTCTACTTATTTTTAAAACAAAAGAAAAAACTATAGCAAAATAATCTAAACGTTAAGAGTTGTAAATTTTCTCTTACTTAGCATACATTTTACATACATAACATAATTTTGAAAGAAACAAAAAAAAAAAATTTAATAAAACATCAAAATGGCATACCGAAAACCAATTGATTTAGATGGTTTTATTAATTTAATGCCAAAAGCAGATATGAGAGTAAAAGCAATATTAGCTGAAGATTTAGTAACATATTTAAGTGATGAAACAAATTCAATTGTCTGTCAAGATTTAGGATTGCTAATTGATGGTCTAATACCATGGTTAACTGGAAGTCATTTTAAGGTAAGTAAATTTTAAATATTTGAAGTTTAAATAACAATTGATGGAATAAAATTTTTGCCTCGATTCTGCACACCAAAACGTGGGCTATTTGTGTTGCAGGTGATATTTTTAAATAAGTATTTAATTTTAGCTAAATGAAATTTGTGGAAATACATTTGAGTTCTACTGAATATGAGTAACTACCTAAATTATCTTATGGAAAGAAATGCAAAAGTTATAAAATTTTAGTGAAGAAATTTCAAATTGAAATTTGAACTAAATTTGAAATTTTTCAAAAGTTAATTTAACCTTGACTCTGAAAAATTTGATTAAGACAATTTATTTTCCAATAAGCAATCAGGTATGAAAAGTATTCTCTATATCTCAGTAAATTTAAAGAAAAGGAAGTGGAAAGGAGAGTCTTAAATTATTCTAGCCCATATGTAAAGTGTTACCTTCCTAAATTTGGTTAAAAAATACTTAATAATAAGTACCGTTCCTTAACTAGAATCAGATTCATCATAAGGTAGCCTTGTTATTGTCGAACGAAGGTTTTATAAGTTCGTATTGATCCAAGTTCATGAATTAATATTTCTGGACATAATATGGTTCAAAAAGTGCCCCCGTTTTTCTTTCACTTCCAGTCAAAATCTTTTCGTACCTAATAATTTATATTAGATATCAAAAGTTACAGGAATACATTTTCGAACACGAGTATAACTATAGCAGTAGATTTTTGACATATTTCCCTTTACATTTTGATTCTAATTCTAAAATTTAATAAAACTTATTTGAATTAGCTTACCTAGAATGCAATTTATAAAGTCTAAATTTCATAAAATCTAAATTACATAATTAAAATTTTCATACATAAACAATAAATGGTAAGGAACTTGTCATTTACTGTACTCAAACTTTGTGTTACTTTTTATTGTATATTTTGTAAGTGAAGTGAACGAGTGAATGTTATTTTAATGATGTTAACTCATTAAAAATTAATTAAAGTTTATTTAAATTGAATTTTTGCTTAATATAATTATATTTTTTTCCGTCTTTTGCAATTATTTTTCTTTTTGAACTTAATTAAGTAGGTCATAGTAGAATATAATGTTAGCGTATATGTACTTATACTTTATATTATGTAGTCACCTCCATTGTACGTATACACACATAAGGAAAGCTAACTATAAACCTTTTGAAATTAATTTCTTTAAATATTAAAATGTATATCTGTATATACATAAGCGTATATACTGTTATAAATGTTATTCGCATACTTACATCTTATTCTTAAGAGGTCGTTCAACTTGAGTTGAATATAAAAAACACCTGATATTTTACCATAAAAAGGTAACAAAAAAAAAATATATATAAAAAATATTATTCAGGAAAAAAGTGTTTTACTGTCACGCACACAAACCCAACTTATATGTTTTTTTTTTACTTGACAACACTGCCTTTGTAATGCTATGAATTTTTATCAATAAATTATTTTATATTTTGTAGAAACTCAAGATTGCAATAAAAATTTTTATCCTTTTATTTTTTTTGAGGAAAACTATTTTATTTGTAAGTTCAAGTTTTTATTCCAATAGATAAATCTATTTTTTTTTTAACATTATCCTTTAAAAAGTACCAGAAATATTATTTCAATTGAAAGTGTTAAAATTTACTTGTTTATGAGAGTGTGTTTGCGTGTAGTTAGCGTTTGTCATAGAACAGAGTCCTTTATTTCTGAATCTTTAAACACATACACTTACATAAATTGGGTTTTTTTTTTTTGCATTTGTGTATACCAAAGAGTTTTCAAAAATTTTATTATTTTTTAAAATTGAAACTATTTTGTTGTATAGATAAAAATGAAACTCTTAGCTATATATGAATTTTTTTTTCTACAAGAATATTGTCTAGACTTTGTTCGTGTATTCCGGAACTTCAAAAAAAAAAAACAAAAATACTAAAATATAAGGAAAATTAAATTAGGTAGTTAATTTTTGTTTCTATTCGTTTTTTTGTAAATTATCCGACCCTAATACACTAAGTAAGTACTTGCAATAACTATAAAATTTAAAAAATTCTTTTGAAGCTTAGGAATATTACATAAAACGGTTCGTTGCGAACAGGATATTAACAACCATATAAAAGATGATCTGTTTTACAAATTTGCGAATATTCCGTAGATAAGTTTTATTTTTCTGTAAAGTCAATTCGTAACAACTTTATTTAACTAATTTAGTAGGGAACTCATTAAAAACTGTTTAGTTGCGTCTTCTTTGTCACATTTTTTCGGAAATAGTATAAATTGATTTCGGAAAAATTACATTTCGCGAATAATAAACGAACCACCGGAATTTGCTTTATCACGAACAGTCACGACCATGTACTGGGAAATCATTTTCAAGGTATCAAGACAATGTTTATTGGTTTTTCGATGTATAGAAAAAATTGATCGAAAATTTAAATTTTTCACCTATGTCTTACAATTTCAACTACTATGGGCCCAAAAATTTTTCTAAAAATCTTGTTAAAGAATTGAAATTTTAAGAATGTTAACGTCGCAGAATTTAAAGAGTTTCAATGTAAAAAATTTTTCAAAAAATTAAATGTTTGTAAAATTTTCAATTCTCTTGTAAAAATTAAAAATGATTAATTTAAAATTTATTTTAATATTAAAGGTTTAATTGTCAAGGGTTTTGAAATTTTAATATAAGCCGCAAGAGGCGCAAAATGGTGGCAAATCTAATTTAATTTTACAATATTTTCAGTCTACGAAAAACTGGCGTATTAATTTGTATAATTCATAGCAAATCCATATAAAATCATAGTTGAATATGAAAATTATAAAAATTTTAATATTGATTTTATTAAACAAGCAAATTATTATGCAAAGTACGTAATGCAAAATAATTTTTTAAGATTGCTAGATCAATCATATTTAAGATTAATTTGTCACTTGGCTTTCTACTGTAGGAGGCATTTTAAAAAAATCAATATGCGAAAGTATTTTTAGAATAAAAAATCATGTGATAAAATGCATTGCTTTTTTTTGTTTTTAAATATCAATGCAATTTTGCAAGTTTCAGTTAAGTAATTTGTGCAATTATTCTGTATTTTAAATTCATAGACTATAAAATACACAGAAAATATTTTATAAGTTTGAATTACAACAAGTATAACATCAATGTAAATAAAATAAGTTTTTTGTAATATTGTAATTGTGTAAATACTGTTCTAACTTTAAACAATAAAATTTTATCTGAAGAAGTAAAAAAGTTCGGCCTCCGCCTAAATTAGATAACCATCTGTTTTATGTTAACTTTATCTTTTAAATTATTCATTTAAAAAGTTTCTCACTGAGATAATATAACTTAAAATTTTTAAAACACTCTCTTTCGGTACCTGAAATCTTACGGGGGTCAGGTGTAAGATTTCGATAAGTTTCAGAATTTTTCAAGACTTTCTCAACGGTATGCCCCCTGAACATATTTGTAGAACTTTTTTTAAGGCTTCAACTTGGAAGTTAGCTGCACAGTTCCTGGTGATTAGTTTAAGATTTAGAGTTAGAATTAAATTTGGCCAATTTTTTCTTATTTTCATTAACGATTTGCGTACAATAAACATGGGCGGTCTAAAAGTCATTCATCTCAATGTCGTAAGTCGCATTAAAACATTTTTGTCAATTTCGCGGTATTTTTGGAAAATTCATTCTTTTTGTAACATTAATGCCAAAATTTCAACTGGGTTAAAAAATTAATACAATCTGTAATTTTTGAAGCCCTGCAATAATTTTTCACACGGCATAATTTTTCCGGTTTTTCTGCAAATTCATATTTTTTTCGAATTACGACATTTTAATAGCGACTGTGCGATAATGAAGATTTGTATGAAATTTGTGATTTATGTAAGAAATCTTATTTTGTGGGAATAGCATATAACTTTCATTTTTAGAGGACTTTCCAAGAATGTAATCAGGTTATTTACTTTATTTTTTATGGATTTTTTCTTCTAGTAGTCTTATCCTTTATTCATATTATCCTTTATGTTAATAAGCAAGCCATATTATGTATGTATGCATGTAAAGTATTACGATTTCTTGTTTTATTGTTGGTTTACTTACTTATTACTAATTTTATTCGTTTTTGATATACTTACCTATAGGTCTGTCTTCTTTTTTCTTTTGATAAGTATTGACATTTATTACTTGATCCGTATTCGTACTTCAAAATGTAATTTCAAGTATTATGTTCATCATACTTGTATGGTTTCTTTGTGATTATTTTTAAATTTTATGCTTATTTGATGAGAATTTCGGTTTTTGGTTTATTTTTTCATATTACCGCAAATATTTTTTTTGCACATTCAATTTGAATTTTATTGTTTTTAGTTTATTTTCATTAAGTAATTCATAATATTGTTTAATTTATGATTTTGTGGGAGCACAAGTGCACATACTTGTTAGTATTTCCGTGAAAAGTTAAAAGATGGTTGATTTACTCATTTTTATTTGTATGATTGATTTTGAGTTGATTCTGAATAACTTATTACAACTCAATGAGTTTTATTTTCTTGTTGCGCTGATCCATTAAGTTATTTACGACGTTAATAGGAAGTATAATAACTTCTGGTTACCTAAAATGCAATTTTCCTAAAGAATTAAAATTACACATCATTAAACTTAATTTTTCCGTAACGAGAATGCAAAATTAGGAATAATGTGAAGTCAATTTTCTTTAAACTGTTTTAAAACCAAAATTTAGATTTCTCTTAAATATTAAAATAACAGCTTGTTTCACTGTTAACGCTCATATGGGGGCACGCCCCAAACTCAGAGAGAAGGAATAACTGATCATTATACGCGGTCACGATGCACTGTACGAATTTACAAATCTAAACCTTAATGTTAAAAAGAACAACTTCATGTTTTTCAAGCACGATAAAATATTATTAATGTACTGTTAAGTTATAATTTAAAATTTTATTCTTACACTGTAAGTATTTTTAAAATCTGACACTTGTGAAGA